CAAAAAACAAAAAAAGTTCCTGTCCCAGTTCAAACAGATAATATCGAAAGACCAATAGTATATGTTTCAGGTAGATATGATGTTTCACAATGCGTTAATAATTCAACTTGTGTCCTTTCATCAATTGACTCTATCGAGGAAAAGTTAGAACGTTTATGGAAGCTAGAAGAAGTCTCGATCACTCCACATGCTTGGACTAGTGAACAACAAGTTTGTGATCATTTGTTTTCAGAAACAGTATGCAGAACAGATGCAGGTAGAGTTATGGTAAGGTTGCCATTTAAGGATAGTCCTCAGTGTTTAAGCAGTTCATACGGTACAGCGTTGCGCAGATTTATTGCACAAGAATATCGATTGTCACGGTCGCCTGAGCTCAAAACGCAATATGTTGCCTTTATGGAAGAATATCAAAACCTTGGTCACATGATTGAGGTAAAAGATCCAAATATTGATGAACCTCATTATTACATTCCGCATCATTGCTTATTGAAGCCAACCAGCACCTCGACGAAATTAAGAGTCGTATTCGACGCATCATGTCGAACCTCTTCTCAGAAATCTCTCAATGATATTTTGATGATTGGACCTACTCTTCAAACTGAATTGTTCATCCTCTTGTTACGTTTTCGCTTATTTCGTTTCGCTCTTACTGCTGACATAGTGAAGATGTATAGGCAAATTCTGATTGATCCTGAAGATAGAAAATTTCAGTACATTCTTTGGAGAAGTTCACCATCTACCAATATTCGTACTTTCCAGCTCAACACAGTTACATATGGAACAGCTGCTGCACCGTACCTTGCCATTCGTTGCCTATTGTATATAGCGCATCAATATGTGGATCAATTCAAGATTGCAGCTGAAGTAATCAAATCTTCGTTTTATATTGATGACTTATTGCATGGTGCAGATTCTCTTTCTGAGTTACATCAAATAAGATACGAATTGGAAGAGCTTCTAAAACAGGGAGGTTTCGAATTAGCTAAGTGGCACTCAAATCATCAAGCTTTTAGAGATGACACTACTATCAAAGATCTCAATATAGGTTCGGATGTTATTACCAGCACATTGGAACTGAAATGGGATCAAGATAAGGATGTATTTATTCCTTAATTTAATGTTAAACCAAACTCTATCAGCCGCATCACAAAAAGAACTATTTTATCAATTGCGTCGTCACCATTCGACCCATAAGGACTATTAGCTCCAATAACCATTTCAACTAAAATATTATTGCAAGAGCTATGGCTGCTTAAATTGGATTGGGACGAATCCTTTCCTCAAAACTTACATTCAGCATGGGAAAGGCTTTGTCACGATTTGTCATCATTGAACACCATTACCATTCCAAGGTACTGTCTAAAACCAAAAGCAAAAACAATTCAGCTCCATGGGTTCTGCGATGCATCGATTCGCGCATATGGTTGCAGCATTTACATTCGCGTCACAGATGATTCCAACCTCATAGAGGTTCAACTATTCGTATCCAAATCTAGAGTAGCTCCGCTAAAAAAACAATCGCTTCCAAAATTAGAACTTTGTGGAGCACTGCTACTTGCAAGACTTTACAACAAAATTAAATCGCTCTTCGAAAAGTTTGATACGGACGTCTATCTATGGTCTGATTCCCAAATCGTATTACATTGGCTTAAAATGCATTCGGCCACACTGTGTGCCTTCGTAGGCAATAGAGTTTCTGAGATTCAAGACCTCACCGCAGGTTCACATTGGAGATATGTCCACACAAATTGTAATCCAGCAGACATTGTGTCAAGAGGCAGCACTGTTAAGGATCTCACTAATTCTATTTGGTTTAAAGGACCTTCATTTCTTCGTCAAGAGATGTATAAGTGGCCTGCAAACAAGAACGACAACTTGGATTTTGAAGAAGTTAATAAGGAAAAACGAAAAGCAGCATTCAAGGTAACTGTATCAACCAATTATGTCATAGATATTATTGATAAGTATAGCTCACATACAACGGCTGTTCGTGTACTGGCTTGGTTGTTTCGTTGGTATCATCATTATAAGAAGAAGTTCAACCGCAATGTCTTTACAGAAGTTCTTACTCATGAAGAATTAGACCACGCCTTCCGATGCATCATTTCAAATATACAAGCTCAGTACTTTGCTGAAGATATTTATTTATTGAATCCAGGATCTATAACAAAAGGTTCATTAAAATACCTCAACCCATTTATTGAAGATACCGGTGGGTATAAGCTGATAAAGGTTGGTGGACGATTAGAATTGGCTGATCTTGCAAAAGAATGTAAACATCCTATCCTGCTGCCTAGCAAATCTGAATTCGTCATACGTTATGTTCGTTACTTGCATCGTAAGAATTATCATGCTGGACCTAAGGCACTAGTGGCACTCAATCGTTTAGAGTTTTGGATTATAAACGCCAGAGAGCTTGCTCGAAGAGTAGTCAGGCAATGTGTTCACTGCGTGCATTATAAGCCAAAACTATTGCAACAGATGATGGGCAATTTACCGGTAGAACGTCTCACACCGTCACGGCCGTTTGCGCGCTGTGGTATAGATTTTTGTGGACCATTCAACACGTATTTACGTATAAGAGGGAAGCCTCCATACAAAACTTATATCGCCATTTTTATTTGTATGGCAACAAAAGCATGTATGGCAACATCGAAGTTGTATCAAGTTTGTCAACAGACGCGTTCATTGCAGCATTAAAAAGAATGATTGGCAGGAGAGGCTTACCAAGTGATATATTTTGCGATAACGCAACCAATTTTGTTGGGGCTTCGAATCAATTGACAGAACTAAAGTCATTCTTGTTTAATAAAATAACCCAATCGTCTATCATTCAGTACTGCGCGTCTGAATTTATTAATTTTCACTTTATTCCGCCCAGGGCACCTCGTTTTGGCGGTCTTTGGGAGGCTGCAGTTAAATCCGCAAAAGGGCACTTATATAGAAGTTTGATGACTACTAAGTTAACATTTGAGGAGTTGTCAACAGTAACAACCGAGATAGAAGCTATTCTCAACTCTCGACCATTGACACCACTTTTGCCGGATCCTAGCGACTACGAAGCATTGACTCCTGCTCATTTTTTGATTAGGTGCTCTTTAAAGGCGTTGCCGGAGTGGACGGAATTTGCTAATACTAACATGCTCGACAAGTGGTCCCTCATCATCGGTTTGAAACAATCATTTTGGAAGCGGTGGTCTCATGAATACATAAATGAGCTACAGATGCGCACAAAATGGACCTGTGAAATACCAAATATCATGCCCAATGCAATGGTGTTAATTCATGAAGACAATGTGCCTCCACTACATTGGCAACTCGGAAGAGTTCTGAAGGTCATACCAGGCAAGGACGAGCATGTCAGAGTAGTTGACGTACGTACCTCAAAGGGCATCATTCGCAAACCTATCCACAAACTAGCCATTTTACCTATTGAAAGTCCTTTCAAGGAGGCCGGGATGTTGGGTAACAATACAAAATAACATAAAATATATAATGTTCATAAATAACGAAAGTTTTTGTATTATTGGCAACCCTGTTGCACAATGTAAGTTTTTAATAAAAACGATCAGTCTTGATCAAACTCGAATTAAAAAACAACGTGTTTAAATTCTGACCATTCTCCAATATTGCTTACTTATGGATGTAATATTTTATCTACGCTACCTAAACCGACACTAACAAACCGTTTAACAGACTGGAATTATTTTAAAGCCCAGATAAATGAAAATATTGACCTATCCTGCAAAATACGAAGTATAAATGACCTAGAGAGTGAAACGCATTGCTTTACAAGCTTGATTCAAAAATCGGCATGGCGCAGTTCTCCACTGCAGAATAGTAAGCAATTTGATAAAAACTATCCGGTCGAAATTTTAAATCTAGTCTATAATAAAAGAAAACTACGTTAAAAATAGCAACAATCACGATTAATGCAAGATAAAAGAAACCTTAATAATGCCACTCAAAAATTAAGAAGAGAAATCAGTAATTTTAAAAATGAAAATGTTAAGAAATATCTTACAAACTTGACATATGATAGCAAAACTAACTATTCTCTCTGGAAAGCTATGAAAAAATATAAAAGACCGATCACTCATAATCCTCCATTAAAAAAAGATAATAATGAATGGGCGAAAAGCAACATTGAAAAGGCACACGTTTTGGCTGAATACTTAAGTAATACCTTCAATCAAGAAGAAACTCATCATATAGAGCCAAATAACAACATAGATGATGAAGCTATTTTGCGGATAAAAAATAAAGAAGTAACTGGGGAAATCAAAAAATTGAAATTAAAGAAATCACCAGGATATGACCTCCTAACTAGTGAAGTGTTGAAAAAGCTACCTCCAAAAGGAGTAGCCAAACTTGCACAGATATTTAATGCGAGTATAAAATTAAATCATGTCCCTAGCTATTGGAAAGTTGCTGAAGTGGTGATGGTTCTAAAACCAGATAAGGACCAAAATTCTCCAACTTCATATAGACCAATCTCTCTCCTGCCAACCATAGGAAAACTGTTCGAAAAGCTTATCTGTAAAAGACTTGCAAAGGTAGTTTGTCAAAGAAATCTTATCCCAAATCATCAGTTTGGATCTCGGAAAAAACACTCAACAATCGAACAAGTACACAGAGTTACGCACGAAATAGAAAAGGCTTTAGAAAACAAAGAAACTTGTTCAGCTGTGTTTCTGGATATATCAAAGGCTTTTGACGGGGTTTGGCACTCTGGCCTGATATATAAGTTAAACACTATCCTGCCACAGCAATATTGTAAACTACTGGAATCGTATATTGGCGAAAGGTACTATCGAGTTAAACTAATTGACGCGTATTCGAAATTATATCCTATAAATCGCGGGGTCCCTCAGGGGAGTATACTAGGCCCATTGCTGTACCTGCTGTACACATATGATTTGCCAGTGAACCCAAGATGTATTGTTGGAATTTTTGCAGATGACACGGTATTAATGGCTACAGGTCCAAACAACAAGGTGTCTACCACTAAGCTTCAAATCGCTCTTCAAGAAATTGAACAATGGACAAATAAATGGAAGCTGATAGTAAACACTTCAAAATCTAATCATGTAGACTTTACTAACAAAAGAGAAAATCAAATTTCATTATTTCTAAATAGCGTAAAAATTCCAGTTGCAAATTCTGGGAAATATCTGGGTATGAGTCTAGATGCCAAACTGAGATGGAAGGTACACGTCAAGAAAAAATTAAATGAGCTAAAAATAAGATACAAAAAGTTAACTTGGCTTATTGGAAGGGAATCTAAATTATCTCAGCAAAACAAGCTTATGATCTATAAACAAGTCTTCAAGCCGGTCTGGCTTTATGGTGTCCAAATCTGGGGTTGTGCGAAAAAACAAAGATTTCAAAACAAAGTAATCAGGGATGCAGTTAACGTTCCGTGGTACGTGCGAAATTCTGATCTACATCGTGACCTTGAAATACCTACTGTCAAGCAAGAAATTCAGAAGGCTGCTAAAAAACATTATGACAGGCTGAGACAACTTTTAAACAGCACCATTCCAGCGCTACTTTGTGATGTCACTCACAGACGCTTATGCCGCTTCAAACCTAATGACCTTTTGAGGCGTTTCAACCAGCAAGGAGATGACTAGTTCGTATCTATATGCTCACCCTTGATAGACTTAGATAAACTTACTTGTAATAAAAAAAACCTCTTGTTAGTCAATATGACTAGTTGTTGTAAATTTAAACTCTTCATTTTGTTTAAATATAATTACAAAAAAAAAAAAATACGGTCTAATTTCAGATATGAAATCAAAGCGCTTATTAGATCCGCTGACAAAATTATCCTCAACTGGCATAGTAAAGACTATATTAACGCAGTCCGTGTAAACATTAGATCCAAACTCCAAATTCTTTGCGATCATCAGGAAGTATGTCGATGTGTATGGAGCAAACACCTACAGTCTCCCTGACACCTCTTTAGTCTATATAAAAGGTCACACCGTTACTCATCAGAGAAAGCAATAGCAATCCAAGAAGAATTTTCAATATTGTTAGAGCAAGGAATCATACGCCCTTCGAGCAGTCCGTGGTCGAGTCCAATCCACCTAGTCACAAAGAAACAG